GCGTCACGGCGGTCAACAACGCTCTTTTCGTCCTCTCTCGGTCGGGGCGGATTTCGGTGTGTTCGTCAGCGAGGAAATTGTCTGGAGTGCGTGTGTGTGCCCCAGTTGCGCGGGTGGAAAGGTTGCGCGTCGCACGCTGGATCGAGTGCGACTGGGCGACCAAGATTGTCATTACGTGACTTCGTCCATGGAGTCTCGAGTTAGGAGAAGGTATGCTGCAGACGCACTACAGCGTCAAGCACGTCAGATTGCGTAAAGTGAGGAAAAAAGGCGCTGAACTGTGGACCTCATTCTCTCCGACATCAGGCCCCCGTCCGAGCCAGTTATTTGGCTGATGTCGGGTAGACGCAGTGGTTGACAGGGCCGGCGAACCCCTCTGTGAGCGCCCAGGGCGACGTGGGCCCCTTGACGCGCACCCTAATGTTTTTTTTTGTCCAACGTAAAATAAACGTTGACAACTACGTCCAGTAATCTGATCCCCCTGACGGTTCACTACTTTATGGCTTTATTCAACTTTGTTAACCGTTTCTCAAAGTTGTTTTGCTATCGGATTTGCCTAGAAGTTCTATTTTTGACTTTTTAACCGTTAAAAACCAATCTAATATGTCTTGTCTACTGAGTCACGTGGTTTTATTGTTTGTTTTTCTTTTAAATATTTATTTTGTATAAGGAGATTTACGGTTAGAAACTTAGGAAAGTACACCCACGCCCATTTTTTGATCGTCTTGACTGTTTTTTGCCGTCGTAGCAGGGTTACAGAAGCTAATAATGCGGATACCGCGCAAGCCTATTTCACGCGCAAGTTACCACTTAGAGGCCCACCTCGTAGGCCAGTGTTGGACATCGAACTCTCCATACGAATTCAATGACTTCGTTTGTTTTCATCGTTAGATACTGCCTTCCATCGTCTGGGATCAAGTCATTCTGTGGCTGTGGGCAGCAGTAGACTTCTGAGTATGGGAAAATGCCTTATAGAAACAAAGTCACTTTGTCTAAAAAAATAACGAGATGGTATTCTTTTTCTGCACAGCGTGTCTTGGCCATGATGCCTGCTTAGTCAGCGTTCCGCAGACACCAACAGTCGGTTGTCATATTATGGCGGACCAGAAACCGCAGTCTCAAAAAAACGTATTCATGTTAGAAAGTGTCCGTATTGCCCCCTATGCTTGGCAACATGTGAATAACTGTTAGGTTTAGCTGATAATTAGACAGGGACCTCTATTGTCCGCCTCAAGTTTCACTTTCGCAACGGCAACTCCTACGATATGTGTCGTCTCTTTTAAAACCCGGTTTAAGCTGTTGTTGCTCTGGTCAGTGAAAGTCAAACTACCTCTAGAAATAAAAACTGCTCTCCCCTGCTAAGGGCGCAGGTTTCATCGAGGGCCCTGGTACAAGAATTGACGATTAATTCGAATGTTTCCATGCCTTTGCCTTACTAACTGCATTGTGCACTCCCGATGATCATCTTCGAAGTAGAGCATGAAGGAGTGATACCGCGAAATAATTGGTGACATAGGGTCTATAAGGCTATTCTGTCTCCAGAATTTCCTTCCAAATAAGTAGCTTGTGACTACATTCTGCATCCACAACCAAAGAGTTGAGGTGGAAAGTTGGCGAAAAATAGCCTAGAAATGGATATTCTGAAGAAGTCTGTGGGTTTATCGGCAGAAGTTAAGGCTAAGAAGGTTAACCCTTAAAGGCTTAGATCTTCCAGGCCCACGGTACCTTTAGGTGAGGAGAGAAGACAGTGGAAAAGCCAGATTGTTAGGAATAGTGTATTTTGCAGAAGGATAGGAGAATATTCAATAGAGGAGATAATTCGAGTTCCAGGAAGCAATTCTTCTTCTTCTTCTTCGGATAGGAGAATAGATGGAAAGAGTTTTGACTCGCGGACTAAAGCATCCGTTCCCTAGTCGGGTTGGGTCCGGAGTGATGCCTGAAGGTAGGCACCGTATTGACGTCTTTGCCCCACGGATCGAGGCCAATCTACTAAATGAGGTCAGATTACTAAAGCGGGAATCTCAGTGGACGGATTGAGGTCAAGCTACTGTGGGTTGAGGCCAGAATGGGAGAGACATGGTTG